GTAACAAGCCAAGCAATTACGAAGCTTTCAAGTCACCGCGAATTATGCTTGTCTATCTATCGTTTCGTGTGCCGCGCCGCCCGTTTCCCCCGGGTTTATCGATTACTCGTCCTCGAACATGAGCGACAACGATCCTCCGACACGCGACGCCAGCCTTCATTCTTCCATTCATCCTCGATACCGATGTGTCTTCTGGCACTGAAGACGTTTGTAAAGAGATCAGCGGCTGTCGCTCGAAGCTTCACAGCAGAGACCGAATCGATAGTATTACGGATACTGATAAAATACCGGTATTTTTAGGTTATTATTCGATTACGTTTGATGAAACGGAAATGGTACGAATACCGGTGTGATGCTATCAAAACGATGTTAGGTCGGTAGATGTATTTCGGTATAATACCGGTAAATAAAATATTAGTATATTAGAAAAGGAAAAGATTAGAGACAATGATTAAACGTTTTCATGAAGCTGCCGATAAGTAAATTTGATGACCCTTTATTATTTCTAATACTAATTCATCGTTGTATCTTCATACGATATCAGCCACGATACTCTTACTTAATTTTAAAAGATGACCGATTTCTCCATACGTTTCTCTATTTTCTCGGTGAAAAATGACTAATTGTCGTACGTCGATAAATCGAAAGAGGAGTTGAAACAACGATTAATCGTAGAATGGAAGAATATTCCGCTAAATTAAAAAAAATTACTGGCAATATGCCTGAGCGTCTGCGATGTATTGTTGAAGTTAAGGGCTACCTTAGCAAAATATTAATTATTGTTTATGTTACAAAATTTTCAGGTTTGAATATTGTAGTTCCTCAAGTGTCCGAATATTTCTGCCACGATACATTTCGACATAGTTCAGTTTATTCTTTGATATTAAGAAAAGTATGTGCAATAAATAAATAAAATTTATGTTACTATAAACTATAATTTATATTATTATATTATTAATTTATATTATATATTATATATTATTATTTTATTATTATATTATTAAAAAATTAATCCAAATTTACTATTGTAAACAATCGAAATCCACAACAATATTTTGAATAGCATCATGTCCGAATATTAATAAGAGTCACTGTACGTTGAAAATGAAAAATGTGTTTTCGTCAGTAAATCGGTACCGTACCGGTATATATTTCGGTATTTTTACCGTTTTGGACATCAAATACCGATAAAATACGTATGAAGATACCGGTATGACCGTCTTATACCGGTATTAAAACCGATTTCTCCAAATAGCGGTTATATTACGATAATACGGAAGCAAATACCAGTATAATACCTAAACCTCACAATATTTCGGTTTCAGTCTCTGGGTATAATATCTAAACCTCAAAATATTTCAGGTTTCAGTCTCTGCTTCAGAGCGCAAAAAATTTTCTCATTTTCTTAAGTCGTCACATAGATGTTTTATTTATTTACGATGTTGATGTTTCATTACTTGTATCTGCAATGCTCGTACTTTCCAGAAAAGTTTTCATCTGCGGGCTTCGAATTTTTAAAAACGTTGTGTACACAGTTGCGGAGAAAGAGTTCGAAATTATTCAACTAAATGTGTAATTTTTCAAATAAATGTCACCAGCTGACGCACACACGGCAGTGCACATTCTGCATGTTTATTGTCAGTGTTGTTCGTGAAATGCGCGCTTGGCGTGATACCGAATTTAGATACCTATAATGATCTCTGCTTGTTCCATTGGCTTCCGGTTAAATTACATGGTTTTGGTAATTCGTGCAATGGCAAATGCATTTATTAGGTTGCAAGCTTTCAGTGGGATATTGATTGGAAATCTCTGTTTACGATATAATCTTGCATTGTTTGCGCAATGCTGTTTCGAAACCCCAAATGTTAAAACTCTTCGCTATATGTTTGGCAAATATTTGGTGGGTCGAAACGTTACACGGGCCAATTCTCGCTTCATTTCCAATAAAATTCAATTGCATCTGAAGATCGTTCTTTTTAAACGTTCCTCAAAAAAAAAAAAAAAACTCAGAAAATCAGTTTAACTAACTCATAACCCAGATTGTTACACGGACCAATAGTTACATTTATTAAGAATTGAGAGATGGATAACTGCATGAGTTCAACCATGTTTAAAACTAAATCTCTCTCATCTTTATCATAACATAACCAAACTCAACAACGTCTAAAACTAATTTCCCTCGAAATTTCCCTCGATGGTACTCGCGAAATTCAATACTCATACGATTAGAATCGAGTAGGTAGAACCAGGCAGTTCCTCCAGCTACACATCATCCGTTCGTTTCTAATGATCTACTAACCATAAACCAAACTTTCCAAACTTCTCTCCTCGAACCGCTTGAAAGTAACTCTGCCCGAGTTCAATCGCAACTAATGCAAAACTAATTCTTCCCGATCTCCATTCTAAACGCAACAACGTCTGCAAAACTAATTCCATCGAAATCAGCCACACAAAGGAACGATGTCTCATGAAATTCCTCCAATCCAGGTGTGTCTTAAGAATCGCAGCTCTAACGGGACGAGCGGCGCCACTGGATCGCTCTCTCGATCCAATCGGTCGCCGCGGTTCTTCTCGATCGGCACGGGACTTTCACTCGGCGTGCGTCGATCGGCGCCGCCGAACGAGCGGACGAAGCGGAAGGTAGAAGAGACGCGAGGTAAAACGCAGTGTCTCCTGTGTTCCCTCTTCGTCTCCGGTCCCTACGGAGTTGACTGACCTCGATAGACGAAAGACGGAGGAGGTAGGCCGCGATCCGAAGGAAGGAAGCAGCGAGTCAACGACGACAACGACAACTACCACGGCCACTACGACAACGACGACGACGACGACGACGACGACGACGACGAGCGCGACGAGGAGTGGCCGAGAAGAAGAAGAGCAAATTGGTGCTCCTGGTAGCAGGGGCCCATGAGCACCATGGAGGAGAAATTGCGCGGCGTGACGAAGCGCGCCAGCAGACACGGACCACGCGGAACGGGGCCAGTCGTTTCTGATTGGTCGGCTAGCACTGGGCCCGCTGGTGGTGGTAGGGGCCCAGCCCCAGCTACTCCCTCTACCTCGCAAGCTGGCAGCTCCACGTTCAACAGGGCCCAAGAGACGACCGGTGTGACCAAGCGGCAGTCCTCGCGTGGCAGCATCGACTCCACTGACCAACAGGCCCCACCCGAACACGGCGAGCTCCTTTTCAAGGTCCTGCCCTCTCTCCTGATACTATACTAGCTACAAGCTGATTCTGAGCTTGTCGAGAATGAGAGCCGCGGGAACAGCCGGGCCTTTTGCGGCCTAGCTCAACTTGGTCATGGACGCTTCGGGCTATGGTTACGGTGAACGCCGGCTCTGCAGATTTTTACAGTTTGCTTCAACGTTTGTAGATGTGCGAAAGTATTACCAAACGTTGTGAAATGCACACGAACGCAATGACGATTGAAATTTTGGTGTTTCGAGAGGGATAACGGCTTGGATTTTTTTTCATTTCAGTTAGAATTATAAAATTTATGCACGATGTTTTTATTCGCCAGGAAACATTCGTTTCATTAATTTTTGTAATTGTCTGAACACATATCCACCGTAACCATAACCTTAAGCATGACTGAAGAGTAAGAGAGCCTCCAAACGCATCGACGATCAACGAAAGGGTCAAAGATAACAAAAATTTCTAATCAAAATTGAACTTTCGAACCTCGACTTTCAGCAACTTCGTTCTCCAAGAAAGCAATCTCCGAATTTGGATTTTCCAATTTTAGTTTGTCATTAGGGGGAAACTTTATTTCAGAGTTAACCTATCGGCGAACATGTTCTAAAATTCATGGCAAACCAACTCTCGTACCAATACTGGTTCGAAGAAACTACTAATTTTATTTCACTTCTTTTCGTCTAACCTTTTTACAATCTAATCGAAATTGTAGTAATTTATAAGGCGAATAGTCTACGTTTCCCCCCGTAATTTACGATTGACTACGAGATCATTGCTAATCATTATTAATCGATTCACTGGAATATTCAGAATACATTGCTGTCGGCTAATATTTTTAATCTGTCGGCTGTGACTCTTGTTAATTACGTTTCTTCGTTTACTGATTTTTTTTGCGAATATGGTAAATGTGTGAATGCGTTTGGATAAAGTAGAAATTTGTTGGAATTATGTAATAACTGAAACTTTTTATTTTTTCGTGCATTTCACTTCGTCACAAAGAAATTGATTGAGAACTTGTGCAGCAACTAAGTTTTAGTTTCTTTTTATTATAAAAAGTGCAATGGTGAACGTATAAATAGTAAATATTCTCATTCGTAAATTTCGATATCTTTTAGGAATGAATTATCGTGTGATTCTGCGATTTAAAAATTAAACTTCGAAGCACTATAAGCACAGAATGTTTTCCAAATATTAACTTCCAATTTAATTTAGTCCATAAATAAAGATTTAAACAGAGAGATTAAATTCGATATCACCGAACGTCGAAAGTAACAATAAATTGCTTAATTTTGAAATTTTTTGATTTGATAAGTTACTACAATTTCGTTTACAACTCAACGATACTATTTGATGCAAGGAATTTCTTTATTTAAACGCTCACCGCTGTACGCTAAGTAACATAAAAATTAATTTTACAAATGAGGGACCCCGCTCGAGGAGAACTAACTAAGACGCATAATTTCGTAATTTCGTGATTTCATCAACATATTCATAGAAAATCTTCACACGATCGTAGGTGATGCTACTTGGCGATAGTGGCGTCGGGAAAACCTGCCTTCTGACACGATTCAGAGACGGCAGATTCCTATCTGGCAACTATATAACCACCGTCGGCATTGATTTTAGGGTGAGATACACTGAATTCTCTTTAGAAATGCCACAAACTAAACGAACTCGTTTCGCGCGATGCGAGCGAAACGATTTTACATTACAGAGCCAAAAACAACCAAGTCGCTGTTGTGAGATTAATAACATAGACGGGAGAATCGTTCATCGAGTGAAATTCATAAATTTGCAAATGTTTCAGAATAAGGTGGTCGTCGTCGACGATACGTCAATCAAGCTTCAAATATGGGACACAGCCGGACAAGAGAGATTTCGAAGCGTCACGCATGCTTATTACAGAGACGCCCATGGTAATTACAATCTTAGATTAGATTCGTGCAGCCAAGTTGAATTTGACGAAATCATTGACTATTTGTTATGTCAACAAACAAAGGTAAAAATGGTTTTCAACTCTCGTTGGACAATGAAATTTTGGGGACTAATGTACGAATATGTGAGATGCACTTGTCATTCAAATTTTTAGGAACAGATTTATTGCACGCTGTTTTACATCTAACTGCGTCGTCCGTTTAATTCGTAATTTTCAATCATTTGTTTCACTCGTTGAATACTTTAAAATAGTTTAAAATATATTATAATATCGCAAATGAAATGTATTTGAATTTTTGTTATTGCTTTTCAAACGTGTACTCCAAACTTTCGAACAACAGTGTGGGTACATTTTTATATTCAACTTCTTACAAACGCGTCAACAACCATAAACGAGCACGTATTTTCTGCCCGTTTTAATTGTCGCAGACAGGAAAAGGCAAAAAGGCGATCGCTTAAATTAAAAGGTACGTTTAAAATAATTCGCGGCAAACAAGTTTTCCTTTCGTGCGTGCAATCAATCTTCCATTTACAAACAGCGTCGTATTTACTAATGACGAGACAAGACGATGGCATAATTGCTAGTTGGACAGACTTGTCTCAGAGACAGGAATAAGGGGACAATAAACTGACAATTCATTGCGAGGCATAAATTAGCAGTTTCTCCGCTGTGTTTGTGATTTCATTAGAATAATAATGGTTGGCGAGTGTCTCTACTGAAACTTCAATCTCACAATCAGCTATACACGGCGAGACTAATTTTAACCATATACATACGTATCAATTGAAATCGAACAATATCTTTCACTGAAGCTTCGTAAAAATTAATTATGGTTACTTTATGATCCTACTAGTAATTATCATCGATAAATTTATCTGAAAATAGCAAACTTGTTTCTATCCGCGAATTATCGTCAATCATCGCGTTTTTGCTGTTCCAAGGAAGCTATTTATGCTAGCAAAGGTTTCGCTATACCAGGAAAACGATAAAAAGAACGTGTTTCAGATAATCAAAATGTTTACGAAGTCTTTCACGTAATCGGCTAGATAAAAATCGAGAGAACTCTGAACCGATTGAATATTATTCATTTCTTCACGAGATCAAAGTCTACCTTTGATTTCTTTGCGGAACACTCTGTTTCTGCAAGCTTGCTTTCGAAATTTTATTCTCATAAAGAAAAGGATTATTTCAATTGTTAAGTTGAAAAGTAGACGAATAATATGTGGGAGGCAAACAAACTGAACATGATATAATCCTCGTAAATTTATTTTAATTTTTCGAGTATTAATTTAATTTTTAAGATAGTTTCCAACTCACTATGCCCCATGTGACACGCACAAAAAAAAAAAAAAAAGAAAAAAGAAGAAATAAAAATCATTCTACACTCATCGATCGAATAGCAATAAAATGAACATCGACGGACGTATTTTCGAGCAATAACTTTCTCTGAGGGTGCCGGTGGCGCGAAAGCAGCACGATTCGAAACTCGACGTCAATTTTCGAGAGGTACTTCAGCGAATTCATAAGTAAAGAGGCGGAGAAGGAAACGCGGTGTCCGCCGTAGGGCGTTGGCCATTGTTTGCGCGGAGAAACCCTCTTTCAGCGGAGATCCCACAATGGTCGGACGTTTCAAAGGCATGGATAACAATTACGTCGCGGAGAGACACTTCGACAATAGTGTCGCCTTCGTCAGATATTAGTCGAACGACCGAGCTTCCCTACGTCTGAGCTTTAACCCGCCGTGGTTCACTCGTCGAATGGAAAACAAGCCTTCGAATGGAGAAACACTTTCAGCTCGTTGCGTTGGCGGTGAACTGATGAAAATTCAAAGTGAAACGAGCACGAATGCCGACGTGTTGAATCTAGATGAATTTTAGACGATCGAGCAAAAGTAAATTTAATTCTAAGAAAAGTTCTGAGAAAGTGAAATATATATCGCTTTATGTAGGTGTATCGCGTGTTTCACGCAGAAAATCGTGATATTTTCATTACTCTATAATGAGACAGTGCTGTTGTGATTATATTCGACAAATATACGAGTTACGTGAACCGTCACGAAAGTGTTCGAACGTTTCTCACAGAAGAAATCAATGTTGAAAAATTCGACTCAACGCTGCAGCGTTGATAAAATAATATTAAAATTGTTTCGTACAAGACGAACAATTTCAAATGATATTTTCCTAGAATGAAACAAAGGCATTTTCGCGTCGCGTCACAATTTGCCTACACGTTCCACGCGATAGCGTTTCCTAAAAGAACAAAGCCGCGTGTAAATTTCACTAGCCAATGAAACGGGCTGCGAGATTTGACGGGGCAGTGTAATAACAGAGGCAACGTCACGTAGAAACTTCTGTTTCCACGCGTGTCTATCAATTACTAGAATGACGGCCGATTGCAGAACGATCGTCATTGGTTTCAGCTCTTTTGTTGCTGTACGACGTGACGAACAAGACGAGTTACGACAACATCAGAGCATGGCTAAGCGAAATCCGGGAACACGCGAACGAGGATGTGGTCATCATGCTGTTGGGTAAGTCTTCGATTGTTTGAAGATCACGGGATAACAATAAAACTGTGATAAATCGAATTTTAGTGATACAGTTCTAAAAATTCAATAAACTCGTATTATCAACCCTATGTGAGCCTGTTTTTGTTTTTTTTACGAACGAGCTGAACTTTTTATATCTATTGTTCTACACGAATTCTGTTACTTAGCACGTCGTCGAAGGTTTAGGAAAAAGATGCTCTAGCAAACGATGGAATGACAGTCGACTAAATCGTTAATCGAGAATCCAACTGGATGACTGATTTGTCATCTTTCCAGAGATCTTTTCAGGAAAGATGTGAAAGAAATGAAGAATGTATATTTCCATTAATTTTTATCAAATCTGAGCTGTTCCCTTCTTTTAAACGTTTTTAAGATTAAACAATTCAAACATTCTATTAGAACTTGCACAATTGTTAATAATAATTGCAACACTTCAATTAAGAATTAAATAGTGACTTAACGATTTAGTTGATGCCCCTTTTGAAAGTGAAAAAAATACAGAAATGGAAAATTCAACATTCAAACATTCTATTAGAACTTGTACAATTGTTAATAATAATTGCAACACTTCAATTAAGAATTAAATAGTGACGTAACGATTTAGTTGATGCCCCTTTCGAAATTGAAAAATACAGAAATGGAAAATTTCTATTTAGATAATAAAAATATAAAATCGCAGTTTATTTGTTACAAAGAAAAAAAAATTTCTAATTATTTCTATCGATCGATAATTGAAACTTAACTGATTGTTTTTAAAAGTGACTCGCGAGAGATCATTAATATGCGTTCTTGATTTTTTTGAAATGCAATAACATAAAATATGATGGCGTATCTGACAGACAGATCAAAACTTGTTAACTCGGTATCAAATGGTACCAACCGATATCGTAAATGCATTTCACCTTTAAGCAAGATCTAGATAAGTTAGGCGTATCAATATCGAGATCAATTCGTTAATTTCATTCCATTAGAATGTCCGTGTTCAAACAAACGTCTCAATTTATTAGACAGTCTGTGTTCACTGTCTGTACCAAGACATCTAACAGATTGAAATTAATATTTTTAGGCAACAAGTCCGACTGCGGAACGGAACGAGTAGTAAAAAGAGAAGACGGCGAACGATTAGCGCAAGAATACAAAGTCCCCTTTATGGAAACATCAGCTAAAACCGGCCTGAACGTTGAATTGGCCTTCTTGGCCGTTGCTAGGTATTTTCATCGATCATCAGCCTCGACTAATAAAGAAAAACAAGAAAAATAGATGCGTGCAATTAAATGAAACTTTAAGACGGTGTAATTAGCTGTAATGGGCATATACACTGGCGATATTGTGTTATTTAGATACTTTTATGTTTTTAATGATAACACTCGTTTTTAATAACAACCTGGTTGGAGAAGTTTTAGACATTCCATGAGTACATTGAAAACGGATTTTTAACTCTAGGACTAAAATGCAAAATTTGTATCAAAGGAATTAAAGTGTAGACAATGAATTATGCAAGTTTTTAATGAAATCTCTAATGACACATCGTTGTAAATTGAACAAATTTCTTCGTTAAAAAAAAAAGAAAAATGATCTTCTATCATCAAAAATTAAAAGTATTGGTAGTTACTTATGTACATTCAAACCTGCAAGTTTGAATTCTTTATAAGTAGCTTAAGGAATGTAAATGATACTTTCAAATGTAATCGAATCTTATATTATCGAACGAATATTATCTGTATTATAGATTCTAACATTTCATGAGTATCTTAATCAGAAACCTGCAAGCTAAGTTAGAGCCAATGAAGGCTTTGCAAGTTCTCCTTTGTCAGAGCTCTCGACCAAAAGAAATTTAGAGAGCCAATGATCTTGATTTTGTGGACACAAATCCCACAAAGTGACGAATTTTGAATGAAAATGGATTTGGACGTCCAGTAAATACATAGTAGTTCGTTCCATCCCAATGCTCGCGTCTAATATTGACGAGCGTCCAATGCCACTAGTGGAAGCACGAAATTGCGAAAATGGAACGAAGTCGTAGTGATTCCCCGTTTGCATTTGGCTTAACGTTCTAGATAAGATAGCGTAATTTCGTGTAATTTCAGGGACTTGAAGGCGAGGAAGAGCAACGACCCAGATGATACGAAATTCAACGTGCAGGATTACGTTCGTCAGCAATCGCAACGGAACTCCTGCTTCAATTCCAACTGCCTGACAACCTGAATTGCGCGATAGCCCTGCGCACACACTTCCCTGCGATAGACGGAGAAGAATGGTGGAACATGGACCGGAACTGGTTGGCCATAAATATGGCGCGAAACTGTCGTGGGCGTTCAAGAATTCGTCCTCTCCCCCCCTGTGATTCAGGATCGATAATCATCGAAACGTTACCTCGTCGCGGATGTCATTCGTAAAAACAAGACGCGAATTTTCGTAGCTTTGCAGTTTGCCAAACGAGATCGGAACGAAATCGAACGAAACGTAACAATCGAATTGAAAATGTAATTTTTCATTTCTCACTAGAGAGAGAGAGAGAGAGAGAGAGAGAGAGAGAGAGAGAGAGAGAGAGAGAGAGAGAAAAGAAAGAAACATATGTAGAAAACGTGAGTCGAAGTAACGTTTCTGTTCCACCAGAAGAGTATCTTTGTCGAGGCATAAACGAGAATTATATAGATGAATAGGAAGTTGATATTTTTTGAAAGAGATCGTATAGGAAAACTCTTGTTGACGATACGTGTATAGAAATTTATTTATCGATGGTTAATCCTGTACTGTACATTAATGTGAATAGCTGACGCGGAACAGAGATCCGCGAGATACATATATATATATATATATAGATTTAGAGAATCTCTCGAGGGTTCTAATTTGCACACTGTTTCGATCGTTACGAAAATAGAAAGAGAAAGGAAATTAGAGAAAATCTTTGAGAAGAAATTGTATTTGAAAATTTGGCATCGAGATGGAAGCTCACCATGTACCAAGTAGATTCGCGGTCCTAGAATGACCGACGTGTAGAAGAGCTTTCCGAAATACACCATAGCTGCCATATATACAACACGTTTCGTCAAAAAAAGAAAAAAAAAAAAATAGAAAAAGACGCTCAATAACGTTTCGTTTGGAAGCTTGTTCTCATAGTTTTTAGATACGGGTGATAGAAGCTTTCCAGTCGATGTTATATATATATATATAGAATTGTATTTACAAGTCTTTCGATCTTCACAATCGTTTAACTCGGCGAAATTCTTCAGACAGTTTTGCATAATTCTATTCTCGAACACGTTAGCCCGTGTTGTTTCGTTTTGCAATTAAACAAAGTTCATGTGCGTGTAATCGTGTAGTTCGTTACAACGGTTGCGGCTAGTCACGTGACCGCGTCTGATTTTTAACGTTTTCTATGTAGTGGTCCTATATATACTACGACAAGGGATATTTTCGATCAGCCCCAATTTGTATTGCAGACTTTTGGATTTTATATACCGTGTTACTTTTATAACCGTGCACGATGATCATTTGCTATCGATACTCCGAAATCGGAAGGAGAAACGCCAGTTTCAAATACTTGGTTTCGTTAATTCGCGGTTACCGAATTCGTGGCGATTCGAGCGTTGCGAACGATGAGGGAAAATGAAACGAAACATAACCATGTTACCTGTAGTATATGTACAATGTATCTTAACAACGTGTACAAACGACAAACAGTTACATGTCAAATGTATATTAAGAAATAATATATATACATATAAAACATAAATGACCATTCGACCAACTAATATAACCGCCTTTTTTTTTGACTTACCACCACAGCCTTTGTTCCCTCGTTTGTGAAACCGTCATCTATCCCGTGAAAGTCTTCGGAACGATTCGGCACCACACTTTCTCATTTTCCAAACAGAGACACTTGCTGCTTTCGTTTATCACTGAATATACATTCTGCGTATTTGACACCCGCGAATCGCGATAACGTCCGACCGATAAATAAAAAAAACAGCGCGTTAGAAAGCAGCGAGCTTCCACTTGACGCGCGCTCCTCGTCGAACTTGTCCCTTGACTACGGGGAACGCGCCGAAACGGACCGCTCGGTCTTAGCTTCAAATGTCGACGTACAAACAAAACGATGCGACCCTAACCTGCTTCTAAGAGCTACATATCGCGGCCAGAACATCCACTCGATATCTCGTGAGGAAGTGCAAGAAAGTGTATATGTCCACGATGGACGAGGTGGTGGAGTTGCAAGATATGGAAAACGTGTGCAGGCTCTGTTTATCCACCGACGAGCCAAAATTGTCGGTGTTCGAAACGGAAGACTCTCTGTTGTCGATGGCTAGCAAGATACAAGCTTGCCTATCGATTCAGGTACGTGCGTGAAACATCATTACGTAGTAGTTTTTTGTGTCTATGATATTCTCGAATGTTTATTTCCCATCGCATACGTTTATACTTTTCGCATTTTCTTTCTGCGACGAGGCGAATACATTGAGGTTAGGTCTATACAGGATCATGTGTGACATCGGATTAATAATGATGATTATGCATGCTTTATTGGTATTTATTGTTACTGGTTAAGGCTGGACAGGCAAATATCAAACGAAACGTGTTTTTATAGCTGTATTTGTTGTTAAAGAAATCTAATTTCTGTTCAAATTTTAATGCGTGTCCGCATCTTGATCGGGTTCATGTATCTTTTAGATTTCAACGACAGACAAATTGTCAACACAGATATGCGCACAATGTGTTAAAAATGTAAATCAATGGCACAGTTACAAAGAAACCTGTTTAAGTTCACAAGAGAAGTTGCATCAATGGCTGGAACGGCAGCATATGCAACAAAGTCCTATGGTACGTATACATAGTTTGTTAAGTTTGTCAGTTTAATATAGTTGTGATTAATGTATCATTGTCATTTGTTGTAGGTTGTAACCATCAAGGATGAACCTGTTGATCTGGACTTTTATGAAGACAACATCGAAATCATTTCTGAATCTACCACTGATTCAAATTTGGTAAGTAGTATGTGCTTTAAAGCAAACGCAAATGTAGAGAATAAAAGTATATTAAAATTGTCTCATCTTATAGGAAGTCACTAATCTTGAAGAGAATACGAATCACTTAGAAGATAGTGCTCAGAAAGTAACTGATGGTGATGAAGTAGCTGTAGATGAAGATCAACCAGTCTTGATGAAAGACGTAAATATTTCTATAAAACCTGAACTACAAGATGATTATGATACTGATTGTACTATAGAAATAGAATCGGTTACTGGTAATGAACTTGTCGCAAATCCTCTTGCAAGCTCAGAGGAGAGAATCATGGAAGCTGATTCCACTCAGAAATCCAATGCATCTGCCTCAGCAAACAAGAAAAAAGCCAGAAGAGGTCCTCATACTCACTTTAGGGGTGCACGTATTTTTAAACAGAAGTGTGTACATTGTCAAATTAATTTGCATTCTAAGCATTCTTATGCAAAGCATATGCAAAGATTTCACACTGACAAACAGAATGGCAGTGTCAATAAACCGGAATTAAAAGATGAGGAAGAGCTTGTCGAAGATCTGGAGGATGAATTAATGAGTATGGAAAAGGATGCTCCGTTAACACAAGTGCAGCAAAATATTATTGGACAATTGAAGACATTTTCATGCTACTCCTGTCAACAAAGCTTCAGCGATCGCAGAAGCACGCTTTTCCATATTCGTCAGCATATGCCCGACTTGAGACCACACACGTGTATCGCGTGTTTGACAGAGTTCCCAGATCGATCAATGTATAAGTTACATTGCGGAGCGTCGTTTGAATGTGCAATGAAAATCGCCCTTGTTGTACCGAAACAAGGCGAAGAAAAATACTTCACGTGTAATATGTGTTTACGTCCTATGCAAAACAGGAAACAATTGCTTAGCCATTTGTCAAAACATTCGGATAAACAGTACGAACAACTGGTATCCCCGACACGATTTCCTCCTAAATTGAAACCAGTGACTCCTCTTCCACCCTTGAAGCAAGAATCACGAAAAAGAGCGTCCGAAGAAAATTATACTTTAAACATACCCAATCCTTATAAAAATGGCGATCCTGCGCATAATCATATATGTGACTTGTGTGGTATGATTTACAGATATAAGCCAAATATGCTGAGGCACAGGGATTTATGTCTACGTTTGTCATCAGATGTTAGGACATCCTACAGATGTGTTCACTGTGGCATGACATATCTGGTATTCAAAAAATTCCATTCTCATATTACACAGGAGCATAAAAAGAAAGATCTCATATGTTCTGAATGTGGCAGCAAATTCAAATCTCCTAGTAATTATTTGGAACATCGCGAGGGACATCGTATCAATCGTGCGAAAAAACACTCTCTTGATCCGAAAAGCGATTTAACGAAGATCCCGCAGAACATTTCAAATAAAGACTGGGACACATTTGAGGCTGAAGTAAATGCTAAAAAACTGTCCGACAGTAATCAGTACAGCTGTGCTCTCTGCAATTTGGAATTTACTACCAGAGCCGAGTTAACAGAACACAGAAATCTACATCTAAAAGTGAAGATTTATTCTTGCGTCATCTGTCGTAGCATGTTCAGCAGCGCAGGTGCTTTGGAAATTCACATGAAGGATCATGGCATAGAAGATCCGAATGAAAGAAATGCAAACAGCTCCTGCTTAGAGTATGGTACGGTGGAAGAAGAATCAAAAGATTCAAACTCAATGAACGTAAGTGCCACTTCGGATCCTGGTGATAAGAAAAACGAGTGTAATACGTGTGGCAAAATATTCTCAAATAGCGCAAATCTTAAAAGACATATAAGAAATCTCCACAACGTTACCAGAGGCCACCTCAGCTGTTCCTACTGTTGGCGAACATTCAAGAGCAAAGAAACACACGACCGGCACGTTACAATCGATCATCTAAAATCCTCAAAATCCATGCTTCGATGTTCTCGATGTCCAAAGACTTTCTTCTTCCAAGCCAATCTGAATCTTCATTTTGAGACTACGCATGCCGAGAAATCATTTCCAGTTGGCCACAAATGCGATATTTGCGGTAAAACTTTCATGGAAGAAACATCTCTGAAAATACACAGGAGCTGGCACAATCGAGCAAACTCTAGACTGAGCTTGTACTTCATGAAGAAAGAAGATCCAAAACAGGAGGAACCTTTGAATTCTAATACAACCCGGCCAGCGAGAGCGCGAAAATCTTACCCGAATTCACCTTCAACAAAACCTAATGGTAATTTCCAATGTCAAGTCTGCAGCGAAAAGTTCAATGATGTAACAGAACTGAGGACACACTTATGGGACGTACACTGTGCACGCAGCAAAAATGAGAAAAATTTCCCTGATGGCGAGTTCAATTGTGAACTTTGCATGAATGTTTTCCCAGATAAGGAAACGTTGGATATGCATTTGCAATGGCATAAAGCTCAACCAATTCTCAACGATATAACAAAATCTGATTACACGTGTGACATTTGTGGGAAATCATACAGCTCGAAGAAGATACTGTCCAGACACAAGAAGCTTCACAAATCCACAATTGCAGCTGCTGCGAAGTTGCAATCAGCTGGCAAAAACTTAGCTAGCAGTCAAGCTTCATGCACCGTTTGTCACAAGGTGTTTAACAATAATCGCTTGCTCCAGTGTCATAGACTGAACGTGCATTCAAACATATTCAACCAACAATCTCAACAGGTACAAAACAACAAAAGAAGATCATCTCAGGAAGAGCCAAGAGCTAAAAGAATAAAATTAGAGCAAGAGGACAGGCAAACACCTTCTGCCATGGATGCTATGAGCGCGGGAAAAAAATCCGTCATGTGCCACGTTTGTAGGAAATTCTTCGCAAACATGAGCGTGCTTTATAAGCACAAACAGTTGGTACACAAAACTCATGCGAATCTGGTAAAAAATTTCTCTAAATCATACCAAATGGAATGCATACCGTTGCCCAGCAACGATGGCAAAGTCTCTTGTAACGTTTGTTACAAAAAATTCCCTGGCGTGTCGAATTTGCGTCAGCACTTTACTGTAAAACACAAGAATGCCCCTGTCAAGTATGCTTGTACTGTAGATGGATGCAAACTCACATTTCCTACACCGATGATCCTAAAGAACCACGAAATGTCGCACACCAGCATCATCTTCAGTTGCAACTTATGTAACAGGCATGTGTTCAACAGGCCTGCGATGTCGAATCACATACTGACGGTACACAACATCGTCTACAACGCTGAGAACAGCAAAAACTTCCACAGAGAGCTGGATTTGGGCAAATACGTGGTAGAGGGTGCAGTAGATGCTACCTGTCCTCAATGCAAGATCAAGTATCCCAACAACAGGGCTATGAAGATTCACTACTTCAAGTATCACGAGAACCCAAACGAATAGAACCGTACATATTTATCTATCCAAAGCAGAGATTTCAACGAAATGTATTAACTGTTTAAAACGCGAATTGAATGACGTACGAGTACTTGGTCCTACTGGCAGAGAATCTCTTCAGAGAATACTGCCTTATATGCATTTTTTTCTTTTTTTTTTTTTTCCATATCAGATTATCCAGTTATAATAATTGAACGGTCGTCGAATGTCTAGCAATAGCGTTTCTTTCGTTTCAGCACGAATGATTAAAATACACATTGGTCGATTTTGTTTTTCTTTGGCTGCTGCAAGAATTGGTTTGCTCGCTATTTCAGTATCAGGAATACCAGATTCGATACAATATTCTGTAAATAGGAACCTTTTGTTATAGAAGAATTAAGATACTATATGGAGGAAAAAGTGAGTCTATGTATTTCTTCGTTCGATGTTTTTACCTGAGTTACAGTCTTCCAGGAATGATTGTTCCTGATGTCAATTTTTTCGTGCTTGAGGTTGATCATTCAAAAAAATATAGCGCTTATTGACGTGCTTGAGGTTGATTATTCAAAAAAATATAGCGCTTATTACAAATCGACTTGTCACAAAGCTAGAGGATCAACGTGTCTGAATGAAAAAATTTGATTGCAGTCGATTCAGTTGATTATTGATCATTGCGTATCTTTTGTTGACTCGCTGGGATATAATTGCACTTCGTAAATTTGAATCGTGTCAATCCAAATGTATTGCGTTTGACGAAGAAGAAGAAAAGAAAAAATGGAAAATACTGCAAGATCTCTATTGTACGATTTACAATGTTCTATTTATCTTCTTTCAATTATGGAGCAACATCTATTGTTTTTGTTGCAATCTGATCGAACACTTTTATATGGCTAAATATTGGATTTTATATCATGCAAACCAAGGATTGACATATTTTCTAATGGTGTGGCTACGGAGAGAAAGATGGGTAGGACAAATTATGGGTTTGCATGGGTAGACAAGATGTCCAGGTCGAGCTTTGCACGTTTATTTATCTGAAAAATACTGTTCATCGATGGTTTAGATTCTGTTATCAATACGCATATATACTTGTATATGCAATGTATAATCTGTAGCGTTTTTGCATATTAGTGAACAAATAAAAGGAAAACTTAATAAGCAACCTCGACTTTTCAAGTAATCACTCGACATTGTCCTTGTTCGCGGGATAACGCCGCCAATCTGTAGTTTTTCAATCGTTACTTTCCACTTTTTGAACTGCTTAGGACAATTAGACGATCATGTTCCTGATCTGAGCTCGTTTCCTGTTTCTCATGATAGTTCCCACAATGGCCATCAGAGGGCTACCGTTTACTCATCGCTCTGACTTTTTAACCTCCAACTCCTTGAGGAGATATCTCATACTGCTGAATGACCAAAATCTTCCCAACTATATCTTTCAATGACCAATCCTGTTGATTAGGCAGTATCGTGGTCAGTTGTCTGACCCGTAGTTTTCGCCTCGCGGTGCTCTAGATGGCAGCCATTTTAAGAAACAAACCTAAAGAGAAAGAGCCTGAACAGACAGAGACCAGACGATCAGTGGCCACTTCGATCAGTTAGAACAGTCAAACAGCGGATGGGAATAATCCAATTTAGGATCACAAGTCCAGCAATTTGGTTCTTCTTCTATTTGCACCGAAACGGTTTCACTCGTCGCGCTGATTTTAGATCAGGTCTTGATATAGATCTTCGGTGTTCGCTAGGTAGCTCCTCTCACAAAACCTCCAGTAAACACAGAAGGTGTACATAACGATTTGCCTGGTCTACTGTTGACGTGATTGTTGGCTACCTTGTTTATAACGATAAACCTATTTGAACAGCCTCCTAATTGTCCCGGGCAATGTGTTCTACACGTAGCCAGTTGTATAAATGTGAAATTTTACGAATTTTATCCGTTAGTTGGTGATTCAGTTAGCCGGTGAAACGAACGAGGGAAATTAAAGCGCCATTCGGAGAAATCCGCAGGCTGAATCGTTAAGTTTCTTACAACAGATGTTCGAGATGATAATTACGTAGCTCTTACGTAGTTATCGTTGCGCGCAACTACGATAGTTCCGAACTTTTCAAGCGTAACTGTGTCTCCGTAACGGAGGTACACGTAGAACTTGTATGTCTGTACGCGGAATCCTTTTTTGTATAGGCGTCGTTTTACGTGAACTTTTGGAAACGAAAGAAGACTGAGAGAACAGAGGAACGTTTTACGAATGCATTTAAATTTTAAACGATCCCTAAACGGTCTCTAATTGCAACGTACTGGAAATATTCGTCGTTTCCGGCGTTTCGTGTTTTAACTTTAAAGTAGAAATGAAAACGATTAGCAGTGAACGTTTTAACATTCGACGGACAAGAATGTGAAAAACTTCGAAGTATATATATATATATATATATATATATATATATATATATATCGATGATACGTACATTCACGAAAAATTAAAGTACGACATACACGTATATATATATATACACACATATATATATATATATATATATATATATATATATACATATGTATATATATACGTGTATGTCGTATTTTAATTTTTCGTGAATGTACGTATCATCGACATTACATATCTAATCTTCGTTAATCTTTCCACGCTCTGTTTCCTTTTAAATTACGCGATATATCTATGTAGCATACAATGTTTAAATTTAAGGATTTTAAATTATACAAGTACGTAAGCTTACGAGAAGAAAGTATTATGACATACTCTGGAAAGAATTTATAAACTATGCAAAAGATGTATTTTTAAAGTTACGCGCGTTCTTCGAATGGAAAAACACATCCTCTGCATCGTTTAAAATTTCCTGTAACAGCATAAAAATTCGCACTGCAGTAGCAACGTATTGATGGCGAACGATGGAACCACAGTTTAGTTCCATTGTTTCGCGTTTATGGTGTCATAGACACGTGGATAAACGCTAAATTACATGCAGCGCGTTCCTTATGCGACATTGAAGCGCAGCCAGTCCTCGTCGAAAGAATTTGCGCACGTGTGATCGCTGAATGTCGCATGTGCGACCAACGTCTTTAAATCGTTGCGAGACTTTTAACGTGGAACACTTTTGTGTATGTGTGTATGTATGCGTGCGAGTGTGCGTTTAGTATTTTCAAAGAAGGATGCATTGATCGAACGTTTGAAAATATTCGAAACTGGCACTGGCTATTTGTATGATAAAATTCATCGTCGGATTTCCTTTTTCATCATTGATCCGTTTTTAATCCTTTTGAACATGTACTTTGAACGTAACGACATGCTCTGGAGAATATCTTACTATATACTGTATAAAATATCGTTAAATGTGAAATGTGCCTGTATATGTTTCGTTATTTCGACTTTTTATTATATAAGCGTAGAATCGAATGTAGATGATGTTAGGCGACTTTTTTACTTTAGGAAAATTAATGCGTTATAATTGGACTGCGGGTTTTTATATTTTTATGAAAAATGGGATCCAAGTAGAAATTTGCCTCACTATATAAATGCAGAGTGCCCCGCGTTTTTTGAGGCACTTTCGACAATCTGACGAAAATATGTTTCGAATAAAAATCAAGTAATTTCCGACGACAGCATGATACATCTTGTATATATTATAATAAAATATCTTACTTTGAATGTTTCGTATATGGTATGCAATCGTGTGCGTTTTTTTCAATGGATAATAATCCACAGTCTTTATAATAATGAATAATAATAAAAAAAAAAGTAATTAACGATGTCAACTGAGAATAAAACAATTTTTAGTAACACGTCTACGTTGATTATTATATTTTATTAGAAAGATTAAACAGTAATTTTTACTCGAAATGTTGCAATTTTACAATATTATGCTATTCGAACAATCTGTGTATAAGGAAAAATAAAGTATGAAAAAAATATGCCATCTTTGTATCTCAAAGAATCGATTGTAAATTTTCCTTAAATTGTCTAATTATTTTACTTACATTGAGAAATGAATGATACATTTTTGAAAGAGGAAGAATCTGACTTATATACAAAAAATATTGAATTTTCAAAATGATAAAAGAGGAGATGCAATTTACATACTTACTCAGTTGCTCAAATTTTACAATTATCCAACAACGATAAAGGCAGGGACAATTAACAAAAATTTATGGTGTCTAATCTAACGTCACGTGTGCCTTGCGCCATCGTGAAGCTATTAAACAAGCTCGTGTGTGTTTAGACATTTAGTACTCGTGTATGCGCGTGATTATGTTGCAAGACTCTGAAATGGAACAGTCCATGTGACCTTCTGGCTTGCCTTGATGTCATTCATATCTAGTTGACGACCCAATTTCTCATTCAACCGCAACGTAGAAAATTTCATCAGAGGAGCTTGAAACCGAGATAGATAACAGAATCGAAATTCAATTTCGATTTTATAGATTTGCGATGAGTTCAAGATCCCCGAATCGACATCGGGATGGCGAGATCATGTCACTCGGCATCTGGACTTGCGAAGTAATCAATAATCGTGTCACGTGGCGTAACACATTTAACTTTGATATCTAATACGCATTAATTCCTCTCCCCCTGGGTTTCTATATTTGTATTTCTAGAAACTACTCTGTTAATCAAAAAAGAGGATATTTGTGGTAGCATCAATTACAGTAGTTCTGAAATGAAAATTATAATACTCCGAAAGAAAGAATAATCTCACGTCCAGTATTGATATTCTGGAATTATAATTCTAAGAGATTATGACGCAAAGCTCCAATTTTTTTTTAATCCCTTTCTCCCTCAGAACCATCTAAACTCAAAACATCCATCGTACAAAGATTTCTCAAGTAATTAATAAATAAATTTCTAACAAATAACCAGTAATTCCTAAGAAATAAATTCCTAACGAATAATAATCACGAAGATTCAAATATCTACCAGAAAGGGTGGATGAAAAATTAAAATCCTTAGGTATCAATCGTATTTCAAAGAGAGAAACTATACGCATAATTTGCACTTTCCGTTTTCTTTTCTGTTTGACGATAAAACATGTCGCCAGCCGTCATTTACTTTGACTGCACCGTTCAAAGTGATGGCACACTCGAGTGACTTAGATTCCCTTAATCAAAGACACCGGTATCTGTTACGCTGTTAATTATTCAGCGCGCGAGAGTTAGGTCACAGGCTGTTTATCGATTGGATTTTTAACTAGCTCGCTCGTTGTACACACGCCGAGTTTCTAATCGCATTCTAACATGCCCAGTGTGTCGTGCTATAGAGACTGTGATTTCGTTTCTTGATGGTTTCTTATTTTAGTTCGCAGACGTCGACCTGGGACACAATTTTAAAAGAAAGTTAGTTTGCCATTAGAGACGACTTTTATATTTTGCATCGATTGAGATTCGGATTGGATTGTTGAATTTTTGAGAAGAGAGCTACGGCCAAGGCTAGGTGTGCATTTGTCAGTTGCAAAGATTGCAAAAATAATTGTCGACAGCTGTATCAATGGTCCTTAGATTGAAAAGTCGATTAGAAAATTCATATAAAGATATTCACAGTTTATATTCTCTTTGGCTTCTTTGTTCGATATCTGATCGAATAAGAATAAAGTTGGAATACCAAAGTGTTGCCTATGAGGGACCTTGATGGCAAGGCTGTAGAATCATTATCATCTTGCGTCAACAAACGATTGTCGAAGTTGTTCTATGCCAGTTGTAGGAACTTGGAATTCAATGATCCACGTGCCCGGTGGATATTGAATTAAATTGACTCTCAATTGGAACGCAGCCGTTCCATGAAAGGCTGAAGACACCAGCGTGCCGATTCGATCGCGATAGCGTTGCAGACGAGACATTGACATCCATCGGATCGTTCGAACAATCTGACCCTGACCGTACCATGGTGGAAACGTCACTACAAAACCATACTGATCTATAAATATTGGAAATATCGTATTTATTCCGTCCAGGCTTTTCTCATCAAAAGAACTCGGTGTGTTTCATTAAAATTAAAGAAAGACGCTTAGAACTCAAAATTAAAAAAAGATTTAAGATTAACAGTAAGACAAATATGAATTTGTTACAAAGCCACAATCTGCAGGTTTTCGCGAGAATTGTTTGTGAGAAATTTTAATATGAAAAAAAAAAAAACATGTATATTTGGATCTCCTTCAGAGA